CTGTATTCTTGAAATGCCCTTTTTATTTTCTGTTCAGCTCTTTAACCTCTTCATGTCTTCCATTTGCTTTAGTATCTTTGCTGGAGAACACGTTTCAGAGTCTTCTCTGACATCCATTTCCATGTTTTCCTTCTTTCTTGTCTTCTTAATGGCCTTTTGCTTTCTTCCTGTATGATGTTTTTGATGTCATCCCACAAGTCTTTGGGTCTCTGATCATTAATGTCTAATGCATTAAATCTCTTATTGATATGCTCTCTAAATTCAGGTGGGACATATTCAAGGTCATATGTTGGCTGTTGTGGACATGTTTTAATTTTCTTCAGTTTCAGCCTGAATTTTGTGAATATTCACAATTGGTGTATTCCATTTTATGAAGTCCATGTGTATAGTGTTATTTTATGTTAGTTCAAAAAGGTGTTTACAATGAATAAATAATTGGTATTGCCATGTCTGGGAATCCTGCTGTGGCAGTGTGGGTTAATATGCTGGAATGTGAAGTTGGTTTGAACTACAACGTAGGTGGTTCAAGCTCACCGCCCTTTGCTAGGGAACCACATTCAGAGTTGCCATGGGTCAGAACTGTCTCAACAGCACTTAACAACAACAATTACCACTTCTATCATGTGATCTACAGCATCATTTCTATCACCAAGACCGTATTGCCGAACTACTTACCTTTACTCTTTGTTTCCAGCCTTTGCATTCCAGTCACTAGTAATTATTACACTTTGATTGCATGTTTGATCAATTTCAGACTGAAGACACTGGTCGAATTCTTTAATTTCATCATTACTGGCTTTAATGTTTGGTGAGTAAATTTGATTAATAGTGGTATTAACTTCTGCTTTGTAGGCATATGGATGTTATCCTATCACAGACAGCATTTTGCTTAAGATTTTGAAATATTCTTTTTGATGGTGAACGCTATGCTATTCCTCTTCCATTTTCATTCCTGGTAAAGTGAACCATATGATTTTCATATTGAAAATGGCCTATACCAGTCCATTTAGCTCACTATTGTCTAGGATATTGATCTTTTTGTATTTCTTCTCACTTTTGACAGATTCCAATTTTCCTAGTTTCACACTTTATATTTATGCATTCTATGTTCCGATTATTAATGGATGTTTGCAGCTGTTTCTCATTTTGAGTTGTGCCCTATCAGCAAATTGATGTCCTGAAAACTTTACTTAGTTCTCATCATCTTAATCAACTATACTTTGAGGTGGCAGCTCTTCCCCAGTATTTTGAGTGTCTTCCAACATGAGGAACTCATCTTCTGGCACTATATCTGATGATACTCTGGTGTTATTATCATGTATCACTATTCAATATTCTGGTGCTGTTTGACAGTGTTCACTGCTATTCTTCCTCTTCTGTCTTAGTCTGGAAGTTCAACTGAAACCTGTCCACCATGATGTACCTTCTTGGTATTTAAAATACCAGTGACATAGCTGCCACCATCACAGCAACATGCAAACCACCAAAATAGGAGGAACTGATAGGGGTAGTGGGCAGGGTAGTGCCACTAGGGCTCCTGAAAATCTTGCTAATAAGTGTATATTCTAATTAAGTAACACTTACCTTTTAAAGTGATAAACTGATTTTAATAAAATAGTTTTGAATGAAAATCTTTGAAATACTACATAATTCTTACATTATTAAACAGATTGAAATAATATTTAAATGAAATAATATGTTATCAAGGAGGCTTAGTGGGGTAGGTATTATAATGTAGTATGTTATAACATTATTGTAAATTGCTGTCGAAGTGGTCCAACTCATAGTGACCCTGTATAGGGTTTCCATGGAGTGGCTGGTTGTTGTGAACTGAGATTATGGTTCTCAGTTTAGTGTTATAATGTAGGTTGTTGTTGTTATGTGCCATGGAGTCAGTTCCGACTCATAGCGACCCTTTAAAGATTTATAGCCTTTGAATCCATATTCAGTGTTATTATGAGTTGGAACCTAATTGATTGCACACAGCAACAGTTTAGTAGTTCAAGTAGCATCCTACCATCAAGCTTTTCGGTTTTTACCCTTGCAACTGGAGTTAATGTCTTTTGTTGGCCCTCTCTCCATTCATACTTAGCTACTTCAACTCATTTGAGTAAGACTGTCTATGTGAGAAATGTTGTCAATACTGACAAATGCTCAAGTAACCCAATCTGTACTAATTTTAGTGAGAATGAGATCTTCTTTATTTGATTTTTGCAAAATCTGGTGCCCAACCCAGTAGACATGGGCAGGTGTGCTGCATGGCCGGCGTACAAACAGTTTTATTCCTCTGTCTAGAAAAAGCTTCTCCTCCAGTTCCCTTTTATCTGGTAGTGTAGTGGTTACGAATCGGGCTGTGAGCCTCAAGGTCAGCAGTTCGAAACTACCAGCTGTTCCATGGGAGAAAGATGAAGCTTTCTGCTCCCGTAAAGATATACAGCCTTGGAAGTTTTGTACGGGGTCGCTATGAGTCAGAACTGACTCTATGGCACATAATCATCATGGAGTTTTACACCAAACATCCCATTTCTCTCCCTCCAGTTGCACATGATCTTAATGACTGTATCCTTATTTAAAGTTTCTAGTCCTAGAACAGATTTCTTTCCTCCCTTCCCCAAATTTATCCTGTTTATATGTCCCTAGGTGTGCATCAACAACCAATGTCTGGTCTAACAATCTCATGTGTCCTTTTATTCCTGAAGATGAACCATCTTCAGAATTTCTCACATTTATAATTCAGTTATTTAGTGTCGAGAACCGGCCTCGACATGGGGGTTTGGTTCACGAAGGAGGGAGATCTGGCGGCGACAGCGACAGATAAAGAACACACACAGAGACACAACAAGAGAGACAAGAAGACACCCCGAAACCAGAGTGGATGTGACACTGGCGGAAAGTCCCTGGACTACCGGCACTGTGGCCCCTGCAGGCAGTAAAGCACCGCCCTGCAAACTTTAACGCATGCCTTGCCAGCTATAACGCCTCACATGCCAACCATAACCCATGGCCTGCAAGCCATAACGCATGTGGGCTTGGGTCTGTGCCTCCTTTTTATTTCTGGGAGGAGCTTTACACAAAGGAAGGCGGGGTTTATTAAGACAGGGTACAGAAGTGTGAAATGTGATTAATCGTTCAACACAGGATACAAGGATTTACAGGAATCAAATTCTAAAACATACATCACAAATTGTCTTGATAATCTAGCATCCGTAATTTTCCAGAAATTCAAGCAAATTATTACATGGTACTTTTCAGGTTTGAATCCCAAGACTGCAACTTGGTTTCTCAAGCCTAATTAACATACCTATAACACCTAATCTCGAATGGGGGAAAGTGAAAAGGATTGAAAGGAATCCTGATGTGTCAGCTGGCTGGGCCAGGTTTGCAGGAGGAAGCCACCTAGGTGAATGGGCTGCACCTGAAGGCCATTTAAGACAGCAGTCCTTTTGTCCTTTTGTTCTTTAAACAAAAACCTGGAAGTCACCAATCTACTTTGAGTTAATTCCTTGGGTAGCCTGGCCCCAGCAAACTTGCTTTTGGAACTTTTTCCAGCTCAGCTTTTGGGAGCAGTTTTTTGTTTTAATATTTGTCCATGGGTATCAAAGGTTCATATAGTAAGTTAATATCAAACATAACTAAATAATTTGATAAAGAACAGTTGGGACATACTAGCTCAGTGGCCAGAGTCTGTTCCTCAGAGAGATTTGTTCTTAGAACCTTAAGTACTGCCAACACAGTGGAGACATTAAGAGGGGCACATTAAGAAACCATTTTCTCAGAGGCTGCAATTACAGGGGTTTGAAGCATAGAGTGAATTAAGAGAACTAAAGAGAATTATACAGAGTTGGCCCCACAGTGAATTCATAACAGCCAATGACCCGGGACGTCCAGAGGTTACTTCCTTGGACCCACAGGGTCTCTGGCCAGCAGGTCGGAGCGCGGCCACGTGCTGGAATTTTCGTCCATGACACTGGTCCTCAGCACCCCAATACCTGCGGTCTGTAACAATTTAGTTTGTGCACTGAATTACAAAACTTGATTGAAGTTATTAGAATCATGTTTAAAATAACAGTAAATAGATTTCTAGGTAAAGGTATAGCCTTTGCTGTGTGTTTGTCTTTCTTTCTTCACTATTTTCTAATTTCTTTTTCTACTTTGATGTGTCTGTATATAATAATAATAGTAATAAATATTTTTCTCACTTTTTCCTTATGTTTTGTGTTGCAGATCACTATCTTAGATGAGTTTTGTTGAATTAATGATAATTTATTTTGGAGCATCTCAGGAATGTTCTTTAATTTTTATATTAAGAAAAATAGAAAATGTACTGAATTTGTTCAAATTACTCTTTTGCTTTATTAATTATTTTGCTATGTTGTTGTTAAGTGCTGTGGATTATATAAGCTTACTTTAATATCATGTTGGGTGCTTTTATGTGTTTGTTTATTAATGTAAACATTTTGAAAATTTAATTTTTTTAACCTAAATTTTATCATATCTGGAAACCTAAGTGCTAAGTAAACAAATTAAATGAGTAACAGAATGAACTCTACTTTGTGATGTCACATAAGCACTGGACTGCGAAGCACAAGGTCAGTGGTTTAAACACACCACCTGCTCCTTCAAAACCCTATACAGGGTCACTATGAGTCATAATTGACTCAAACACATTTAAGAGTGACAACATCTCCAGTCAATGATAACTAATATAAGACTTTGATGCTAATTAATGAAGTAAATGTAAAAGAAGAAACAAGAAAAGGTCTGTTTTACTGTAGTTTTATCACTCATTTTAAATAAATGTTTTTATTTGATTGTTAGAGGCAGTAAGTAGGCAAAGGATGAAAATTCTTAGTCAGAAGCTATTTTATTTCCATATTTGGAATTGGAAGTATATCACTATTTTGGGTGTGACCTTGGTAACACTGTGGTTAAGCCCTTGGCTGTAAATGAAAGGTCAGAGGTTTGACCTTTGGCTGCTATACAGGAAAAGGATGTGGAAGATGACTTCCTTAAAGATCACAGGCTTGGATAACCGTTAGTATTACAGTGAATCAGAATTGACTCGATGGCAGTGGGTGGAATAGGAGAAGATATTATTCTTATTGTAGTCTGTATTGTATATAAATGATCCTACTGTTTGGATAAGAAATCAAATGACGTATTGCATTAGGCAAATCTGCTGCACAGGAACTTTTTAAAGTGTTGAGGAGCAGAGATGTCAGCTTGTGGACTAAGGTGCGCCTGACCCAAGCCATGGTATTTTCAGTAACCTCATATGGATGCAAAAGCTGGACAATGAATAAGGAAGATCGCAGAAGAATTGATGCCTTTGAGTTGTGGTGTTGGAGGAGAATACTAAAAGTGCCATGGGCTGCCAAAAGAACCAATAGATCTGT